TCTTCCTTTCGGACTGGAAAAACCACCGAACCTGGGAACATACGATGGAACAACAGATCTCGACGAGCATATCAAAAACATTGATGCTCTGCTCGATAATCATGGTGTTAGAGGCGCCATCAAATGCAGGTTATTCCCTACTACTCTGAGAAAGGGTGCCATGATATGGTACAAGAGCCTCATTGAGGAATCCATCACTTTTTGAAGAGCCTGGGAAAGAAGTTTTTGAGGCACTTCACCACTTCTCGCCGCCATCCAAAGTCGGAGGCAACACTCGAAGCAATCACGCAAGGAAAAATGAATCCCTCTGAGTCTACATTGAGAGGTTTAATCGAGAAGTTGTCCAGGTCTCCATAACTGACGACATGAAGAAGTATTTGTTCGAGCGGGGACTATGCCCCCGCAGTGACTTTGCCAAGTTTGTCGGTATCAAAACGCCTGCATCGCTGGATGCCCTCCTTCTCAAGGCCCATACCTATATTTAGTATGAGGAGAAAGAAGCTGCCAACAATGCTGGAGACTCGCGACATCAGGAAAGCGCCAGAGTTTCGAGGCACGATGACCCCCTGGCACCTCGCCGAGGAGGAGAGAAGAGGAAAAAGGATAAGCCCCGTGAGTCTCGGGAGTTCAAAGGACCTGCTAGCTGTTTTTTCAAGTACACGTTACTGAACGCCTCTTGCGACCGTATTCTATTCGAGTCCACGAACTCAAATTCCGCCAGGCTGAAGTCTGTTTTCCTAGGCAAACACCTCATAAGCCTATCGCGGACAAGACCAAGTATTTCCTCTTAGACAAGAGCCACGAGAACGTTACTGAAGAGTGCATCTACCTCAAGGATGCGATTGAAATCCTCATTAGGGATGAGCACCTAAAACAGTACACTAAGAGAAGAGAGGCTCCTTGGCAAGATTCCCGGGAAGCGAAGAATGTCGAGGAGGACAAACCACCCTCTAACGACACCGCCAACTTAAAAATTGCCATGTTTATCTCCCCACCTGAGGACTTCTACATCCCTAACGAGGCCGAAAATCCCCTTCATTTCACAGCGTACATCACATGGGAAACCTTCTCCTCTGCCATGGTCATATCTGGTGGAGGATTCAACAAGCTCAATGTAGGATCGATGAAAAGGAAGTTTGAGCAACTCATCGATGTGAGCTCGAGCCAAAACTCTACCTTGGACAAAAGTCGGGGAAGCTCAGTGCCTATCACATTCTACCGCGATGAGCTCCCTAGTGGATCCATCAACTTCAACATCCCTTTGCTCGTGAGAGCACAAACGGAAAACTTTGACATTCGCTGCATACTGGTCGGCTAGGGAAGCTCGGTCAATATCATGTACTCTCAGTTGTTCCTGACGTTGTAGCTCGATAAAACACATCTGACACCCTACGTGGGCTCTGATCTATAGGGATTCAACGGTACAACCACAAAGCCGTGGGGTTATGTCGAACTGATTGTCACGGTCGGAGCGGTCTAGACCTCCAAGTTGGTAAAAGTCTAATTCCTATTCATAGATTGCCCTTATCTATACCAGTGTGTCCTGGGAAGACCAACTCTGGACGAATTGATCGATGTGTCGTCCACTATTCATTTAAAGATGAAGTACTACACGGCTAAGGGGCCCATCGCCACCCTTCACGGGGACATAAAAGCTACGAGGAGATGCTTTGAAGCAGCCTCGAAAGGGCAGAACTCCATCAACACGCCACCCAGGACTGCTAGCAAACCAACGCGACCCAACATCTTGGAGGATCCAAAACCTATGCCTCATGTCGACTTGGTATACCTAGACAATTGCTTCACTAAAAATGACTTAAAGGAGCAGAAGAAGAAAGAGAGAGTAGCCCGACTAGCGGAAGAAACCTCCCCGACACCAGATGTCAATGAGGAGCCTGCCCATCCTAGGCGCCCTATTCCTGACAGCGAGTTCGAAGTTATCCTCATTGGCAGCGACCCAAACAAGGGGGTGAAAATTGGAACAAGACTCTCCGACTTTGCAAGGAAGCAGCTAAAGGCCTGCTTAAGAGAGAATGCTGATCTGTTCGCGTGGAGTGCCGCTGAGATGCCCATACTGGATCCTGAAGTGGCCTGCCACCAGCTGAACATTAACCCTGCCGCTAGGGCTGTAGTACAACGTAGGCATAGGCAATCTCCCGAAAAACCGGAGGCTGCTGAAAAAGCTGTAAAAGACCTCCTAGAGGAAAATTTTATTTCAGAAGCCTAGTACACAACCTAGCTTTCAAACGTTGTACTTATCAAAAAATTGAATGGAAAATGGAGAATGTGTGTTAATTATATCGATCTTAATATGGCTTGCCCTAAAGATGCTTACCTTTTACCTAACATAGATAGACTACTTGATAACTTTGCAGGATTCAAACTATAGTCTTTTATGGACGCGTATTTAGGGTACAACCAAATTCCCATGGCAAAGGGGGATAAAAAATACATGGCCTTCATGACCGTGTCGAGAAACTACTACTACAATGTAATTCCATTCGGCTTAAAGAACACCGACGCCACCTACCAGCGGATGATGAACAAAGTCTTTTGAGGTGAGATTGGAGACATGCTCGAAGTCTACGTGGATGATATGATCGTGAAATCCCAAGAGGAATCTGACCACACGGTCTACCTAAAAAGAGTCTTCAACCAGGCGAGGAGATGCAAGATAAGGTTCAATCCAGAGAAGTGCACCTTCAGCGTTCGAGCAGGCAAGTTCCTCGGCTTCTACCTAATAGAACAAGGAATCGAAGTGAACCCTGAAAAATGCATGGCCTTCTCCGAATTCCCTATGCCAAACTCGAAGAAAACAATTCAATCCCTAAATAAGATGCTCACCTTGTTATCCCGCCTCGTAGAAAAGTCTGCCCAATACGCACTTCCCCTTTTCAAAGTTCTCCACAAGGAAACAACGTTTGAATGGATTGAAGAGTGTGAACAAACCCTTCTCCACCTCAAACGAGTTCTTTTGCAACCACCAATCCTCTTGCAACCAGACAACGGGGAGGCTCTCTACCTTTACCTCGCTATAGCGGTCGTGGCCGTCAGCGCGACTCTCATTCATGAGACCCCCGAAGGGTAAAAACCTATTTACTTCACGAGAAAAGCCCTACAAGGCTCATAACTCAGATACCAGCAGATCAAAAAATTAGCTTTGCCCCTCATCAATGCGGTGGATTTCTATAGTTATGTTAAAAAAAATTGAATTAAATTTCTCATAATACATTTGCGGAATCAATCACTAGTAAGAATCAACAAGCACTACGCCAAAATTGATTTTTTGTATCGCCTACTTTAATAGCGCTTTTGAAATAAGCGCTATTAAAAAAGAAACAAACATATTTATAATAGCGCTTTATAGTAAAGCGCTATTAAAGAGTACAGAGAATATGATTTTAATAGCACTTTGTAAAAAAGCGCTATTATAGATATTCACTAAGATAGCGCTTTTCTAAAAAGCGCTATTAAAATGTTGTATTACAATAGCACTTTTATAAAAGCGCTATTATTAAAAGCACTACGATAGCGCTTTTTAAAAATCGCTATTAAAATATGTAACTACAATAGCGCTTTCTATGGAACCGCTATCGTTTCTATAATTGTGTTTTAAGATAGCGCTTTTTTAAAAAGCGCTATCGTATTATTTCACTAAATTAAACTAATTAAAATATGAAAATCTTCACAGAAGCTCTAACACCAAATGAAACGCATAGCGGCGAACGTGAATCAGGTGAGAAGAAGATAATCTTGAAAAATTATGGGATAGTTATTGAGAGGTTTTGGGTGGGAGAAACCAAGACTCTCGAATTTCTTGGGTAGGAATTGCTTTATATCTTCTAGGTATACCCAATTCTCCCAATTTGGGGGAAAAACTCAAGATTCATAAATTGAATTTCAAATTCAATTCAATTTTAGGTTAACTAGTTTGTGTTTAAGCAATTTTCTCATATCTTCAACAGGTTAAATATGTCAAGATGTGTGAAGAGATTGGGAAAATGTGTTTCTCTGGTTTCAAAAAGGGGTTTTTCTACTACATCAAGCATTCAGAAAGATGCTGTTGAGAATGGTGGCAAATCATTGAACCTTTATACTGCCATTAATCAAGCTCTTCATATTGCACTGGATACTGATCCTCGGTGAGTCTCATTCATTCATTCTTTTTCTTTGTATGTTACATAGTTCTTTCGGTTGCATTATATGTTGTTTCCATTATCTTCAAATTTTGCTATGTGAAACAGTAAATTTATATGCGGATTATTGGTTTCATGTTTGCCAATAATTCTACTCCTGTATTTCGTCGCAGTGCTTATGTTTTCGGGGAAGATGTAGGCTTTGGCGGGGTGTTTCGTTGCACCACTGGATTAGCAGATCAATTCGGTAAAAATAGGGTTTTCAATACTCCTCTATGTGAGCAGGTATTTGATTAAGCATTTCATGTTTCCTTTGTCAAAAGAAAAATAAATGTCAAGAATATTTTCTAGAACACGGTTTGATATTTTGAAATGCTTTCCACAGGGCATTGTTGGCTTTGGCATTGGTCTAGCAGCTATGGTGAGTCTAACATGTTAAAATAATTTACTTCTTGTTCTAACATCAAACCTTACTACAATCATATATAATCAAAATTTCTTTTATATATCTGCATTTAAGCTTCTTATATGTTTTTGCATATCAGGGAAATCGAGCCATAGTAGAAATCCAGTTTGCAGATTATATATTTCCTGCTTTTGATCAGGCATGCTCTTTTGCTTTGTAAGGCTTTGGTTAGTCTTAGTTGATGCGCCTTTTGATCAGTAATTGACTAATTTTTCGTGTCTAGATTGTCAATGAAGCTGCTAAATTCAGATATCGGAGTGGAAACTAATTTAATTGTGGCGGTAAAATTATTTCGTTACTATAGCTTTGAAGTTTTCGATTTTTATAGTTGTTGTTTCAACAACTTTTTCACATTCTTATAGGTTTAACAATTAGAACCCCCTATGGAGCTGTTGGCCATGGTGGACATTACCACTCTCAATCTCCAGAGGCTTTCTTCTGTCACGTGCCTGGTATCAAAGTATGGTGCTTCCAATATGGATCTCAATCTATTATTTAGAACCTGATAAATATTTTAGTACTTTTGTCTGTTGTTTCTCTTTTTCGAATGATTAAGCCACTTACGGTGTCGTGTTTGAAACCTCTATAGACTATAGAAAAGTTTAAATTTCTAAGGCAGTGGCTCAAGAGTTGAATGCATGTGCATAATAGCTCAATCATCAAATTATGAAGATCATGGTCCTGATTGAATAAATATCTTAATTAAGCATTTATGTACAACATAGCTTATGAAAATAAGTTGAAAACAATTTATGGGTATCTCATAGTCTGTTTCCATAACCTCTCTCAAACAGTTCCGCAAGCGCTTATGCTAGTATATAAACTAAGATAAGTCAGTCCAGACAAGGCTCAAGAGTATATAAGAGGCTTGTGAATAGGAAGTTGCTAGAGTTTGAAGGATTTGACGTGATATTTTAATAATCATAGATTCAAATCATAACATATTTTAACATTATATAATATAGACAATAGAATCAATATAGACAGTAGATCAAGAATATGTACCTTTAGGATCGATGAGAATCAAGAGATAGTGATCGATGAAGAATTAGGATCTGTAGAGAACAGGGAAGAGAGAAACTACATTTAGAAATTTGCCTTGTATATCATGTTGATTTTTCTTATCTTTGTAATTGATTCATTTTTTCACAAATACCTCAAGGGTGTTTTTTGTATAGGTGGTCATCCCTCGTAGTCCAAAGGAAGCGAAAGGGTTATTGTTATCTTGCATACGTGATCCGAATCCTGTTGTATTTTTTGAACCAAAGGTTATATATCCTTATTCTACTAGAACAACCTTAATGAATTGTATGCACAGAACTAGAGTATGTGACATTTGCAGTTTCAATTAAGCTATTTGTTGTTTCAGTGGCTTTATCGTTTGGCTGTTGAAGAAGTACCGGAAGATGATTATATGTTGCCATTGTCTGAAGCTGAGGTACACAAAAAGTCCCAATAAAGAAGATAAAAAAGTTCTGTATAACATTATTGATTCATTATTGTGACAAATTTTTACTCTAGGTGATTCGGCAAGGAAGCGATATTACACTTGTTGGATGGGGAGCTCAATTATCTATAATGGAACAAGCTTGTATTGATGCAGAAAAGGTAAGTACTGCTGCTTTGAAAGAAAAAGTGTTAGGACATGTAATCTGGGGTGCAACCGTCTACGAAGTAGACAACACTGTGCAACAGCTGTGGGTGCAACCGTCTACGAATTAGACGAGTTATCGAAATTTGATCATCTTTCTTGTTTCTAATTATACACTCCTCTGCAGTGCAGATCTTCCAATGAGTTTTGAAAACCGTGTTGAAGCTGTTGGAATTGCAACAGAGTTTCAGGATAACTGTAGCCAAGTATTTAAAATGGTCGATGAGGATACAGACAATGCAAAGACACAGGTACGCCTAGGAGTGTAATAGGAATCATATCGGAAAAGACGAACAGATAGGAACACAATAGGATTTTTATTGAATATCACTCTCCTCCCTGAATCTGAATCAAGATGATTGCAAAATCACAAGGGGGGATGGAAGAACACAAGTTATAGATAGGTACACATAACCCCGGGAAATTTGAGAGTCCCTGCACTCCCTTGCAAATCCAATCGGATCTCTGTTATTTCCACTCACTTCTTATATGTTGTTGTTTCTGTATTTCTCCTCTAATTTGGTTGTGATATTTAACTAACTGTTAAAACAGCCGTAACTTGAACTGGTCCTGGTTTTTACGATAGAAACTATCCAAAATTCTATTCCCCTCTACTCATCCTTATTCTGCCGAAGAAACACCTTTTTAACCTGGGTTCTGCCAACAAGAAAACAAAGTAAAGTATAGTAGCTTGTAGCCTAAGCTATGCACACAATAAATAAAATTACTTGGTCTTGAGAGTTACAAGCCACTGTATGACTAGCAAGTATGATTTTAACAATCATGCATAGGTTCACATTCATAATGTCATTTCTAAAATGTAAATGCTGGTTGATAGGTGGTGAGGACCTAAAGCAGTTGAGTCTCCCAGCTGAGACTTTGTAAAACTTTCAACAAAATTACTAATGTTACGATTTATATGTTGGCTCGGTATCTGCTTTTTAGATTCCTTTTGTCTATTTTATTTTTGTCTTTTGATATATAGTTAAATGGAACTTCCGAGTTGACAGCTTTTATTCCATTTCCCACAATATTGGCTTTGCTGAGTAGTTTGACAGAAACAGTGTTATGACTTAATATTTATGAAATGCAGATCATCTTGGCTAGAGAGTATCTCAAGGATGTTACTATTAGCAAAGAACAATTGAAGTACATGGTTATTGAGGCTTTACGAGGTGGTGTCCAGGTATGTAACAAGTTTTTTTTTCCCCGCAGAAGTTTTTGATGTGGTAAATATGATTGTACACTACAGATATCCATTGATTGTGAACTTTGGTCAATTCTTTTTGTTTCTTAAGGAAGCAATTTTTCTACTTTCTAATGAAATAAACCGAACCAAATATCTCATTCTTCTGCTAATTGAAAATAAATACATTTTTCAGAGTTTCTGCTACATGCTTTAGAATTCAGATAATGTCGTAATTCCGTATCATGTATTAAGTTCAAAGACAGACCTTTACCGCCAAATCTCTTTTTGCTTGAGAGGGCATCTGGATCTCTCTTATTGGTTTAACTTACAGTCTTTCTTGATATCCCTCTACCTCTAACTTTCATCTAGCTCAAACCAATCAAGTGAGCTGGACAAGAAAATATTGCTTCAATAATTGATCATTCTATATTTTCTAATCTACTAGCTGTGTTTAGGAGACTATAAGTGCAATATAAAGTTTGGAAACACAAGAAATATCTGGTATAATTGTGGCCAAAGAAGGGTTATAATTTTAAAGGAAATTCTGGATTCTTTCTTTCTCTATCTCTCTTTTTATGCTGATCACTTCATTGAGGTCATCAATAAAGTATAATTTTCATTCCATAACAAGGTGTTAAAACTGGTATCTATGTTCGAATAAAGTAGGATAAATCATCTGCAGAATGGTCTTAAAACTGAGGATATAAATTTGTTATTGCAATCACACACCAGAACATAAAAAGGTAGATTCTCCTAGAGAAGTTGTTGGTGCAGTATTAAAGTATATGGGGGCTTCCTATAATGCAAATGACATCAATTTGGAAGTTAATTTTTGGGGGCTTTCTACACTATGTCTGTTCTCTATGTATGATCCTTTCTATATTTTAAAGCAAAATATGGACTGCAAAAGCAGTGTATGACTCTTGTTGATGGGCTTTTTCAGGTGAAATGGCTAAACAAGCTGCTGTCCAAATTGTGGCCATTTGTAGCAGATGTGAGTAAACTTGTTTGTATAATAATCTCGAACATTCTAAACCTGAATGATCTCTTGTTTGTATAATAATCTCTTGTTGTAGCACATTCTAAACCTAAATGATAAGTCAAATCCCTTTGTTGAAATGCAGGTTGAGTGGACATGCTGCTGCAATTCCGTCTTTCATGCTTCTTTCTATCTCGGCTTGATTTTTTGTCGGTTGTAGGTTTTTTTCATGGCATATCACCAACTTCAGTAAGTTTGTATGAAGAATTAGCAAGTGATGACACTTATGCTAAATAATTTTGTTGATTCTATGACAGCAAAGAAGAACTTGCCGGACTGTTAGTTCCTCTTGCGACATCAATGACGACGTCCAAGTGTTCTGAAAACCTCGAATAAAGTTCGCGGATTCGGCATAGCGTTGGAATTGCTTTGGCGAGAAGATTGGTGTTGGAATCAATTCTGAGTTGCTATTTCAGCAACTTTGGTATGTTATTTCCTGGCAATTGTTGTGTAATTCTTGTGTCAAGTTTTCTCGCCGCCAACGGCCTCCCGTTTTTAAATGGATTATGAGTCTTTGACATGGTTTTTATCACTGCAGTTCGTGTATTTGACACTCATCGCTCCAACCGTCTACGAAGTAAACAACACTGTGCAACAGCTGTGGGAGTTCGACAGTTCGCCGACTTCTAATTTTATTATCCAGGGTCGTGGGGTGCGCTACAGAACTTCCGCTACGGGGCTTTCAATAGGTTACACAGAGGTGATACTTTTTTCTATATATATTCTCTTTGGAAGGTCAAGTCTTCTCGGATGTAGTAGTAGTATTTTTTGAGTTTTTATGAACTGAGTACTGATATAACAGTTGTTAGACCAGTTTACGTTGTGTTCTACCGGTATCAGATCTTAAGGACATTTTAAGCTTGGGCACTGGTTCTTGTTTGTATGTCAAAGATACAATACCTTTTTTCTCTTTGGTGTTGTAATTTTGTTTATGAAACTAGTTTTCATGGATAGATGGATAGACACAAGTGTCCTATCAAATTTGGTTTTATAATATTTATATTATTAAGATGTGAAATGATAATTTAAAAATTATATAAAAATGTATTTTTTTTTTAAAATATTTATATAAATGTCTAAATAACAAAATGGCGTTATATATGTGTAAAATCAACTTGAATTATTAACGCATACATATTGTACTGATTACATTGCATTAAAAATAGATACTATGTGTGGTATTATTTTACAAACATAACCATACAATTCTTACACAGTATCAGTAGTTTTATTTTACAAAATGGCCTTATTGTAGTATCAGTAGTTTTATTGTCCAGCCATATATATATATATATATATATATATATATATATATATATATATATATATATATATATATATATATATATATATATATATATATATATATATATATATATATATATATATATATATATATATATATATATATATATATATATATATATATATATATATATATATCCTATAAAACACCATCTTATAATAGCGCTTTGTTAGAAAGTGCTATCAAACTTAAAGCAATTTACCGGTATTTTAATAGCGCTTTGTTTGAAAGTGCTATCGAATATGTGAATTATAATAGCGCTTTCTTTGAAAGTGCTATTAAATATTTGTCTTATAATAGCGTTTTATTTGAAAGCGCTATTAAATATGTGTATTATAATAGCGCTTTGTTTGAAAGTGCTATCAAAATTAAAGCAAATTAACGGTGCTATAATAGCGCTTTGTTTGAAAGCGCTATCAAATATGTGACTTATAATAGCGCTTTTTCAAAAGCGCTATTAAATACTGGTACTATAATAGCGCTTTTTCAAAAGCGCTATTATAGTACCTGTATTTAATAGCGCATTTAAAGCGCTATTAAAAATTTTGTTTTACAATAGCGCCTTGATTAATAGCGCTTTAAAGCGCTATTAAAAAGCAAAAAAAGCGCTATTAAAAAACTTTTTTGTAGTAGTGAAGGTAAACTAACTAATATGTATTTAAATAAGACTCACAAGCAAAGTCAAAACAGACAAATAAAGATAATTAAAACTCAATATAATAGAAATATAAGAAGAAAGTGCGCATTCTCATTTATTAAAGTGTTATTTTATTTCACTAAATAAAAAACTAGGAAAATAAAGATTTAATTTATAAATTATAAACAAAGTTTCTCATTTATTAAAGTGTTATTTTATTTCACTAAATAAAAAACTAGGAAAATAAAGATTTAATTTATAAATTATAAACAAAGTTACCTCTCATGGGTTGCCTTCAAATAAGCGTTTTGCTTAGAATCTAAAGCCTGGCGCGCAATCACCTAATAGAGTGGATACTTCACCTTTAAAACAACAATAGTTTGCTTCTTTAAAAAAAGAATATCATTGTTATTAGATTATATAATCACTTTATGTTGTGACATGTTTCCGAACATTTGCAAGAAAAAAACTATTTCATTTGTGTTTTTTTTTGAGTCGTTCTTAGACTTGGAGTTACTACATGGATCTATTTTATATGGCCTTTATCATTTTGGTCTCTTTGAGAAAGAAACGGGAGTGTCACTGTTGTTGTGATGATTTCTAATACGAAGGGGTTTATCACATCAATCAACCATATGCTTCTTGTGGAAGAGGTAGAGTATAATATTTTACAAATATCAACAACCTCTTCATCTTTATAGTT